TAATGTATCTTAATACATTAATTCAGCCATATTACTTATGTTTTTCTACAGGAGGAAAACGCTTAACGAGGGACTTTGTGCATTGCGTTCATATTCTGCTGTTTTGTAGCCACGGATTTGCGGGTCATGTCTTTTTCTTGCAGGACCCTGTACATTATAGTACTAAATTAGTTTTAATCGTTTAATCACCACCACAGCGTCTTGCCTCAATTGGCAACACGCACGATTTGTGTCGATTGCAAGTGACATCGCAGGAAGCGGAGAGTGCAAGTGAAGATTGAAAGTGACATTGTAATTTAGTTTCTTTTTTCTTGTCTTCACCACCTGGCTACTGTTGTTAAATGTTGAGAGATTCAAACAAAAAGTAATCAATAAATAGAACAATATAAAAAAGACTGCAAGTGACATCACTTGCGGAAGCGCAAGTGTCTGAGAGTGCAAGTCTGAGAGAGTGCAAGTGCAAGTCTGCAGCCAGACCCTTCTCGCCAAAACTTTTGGTGAGCCGCTGCCAGAACACAGCCGAGTGAGCCGACACTCAGCCGCAATTGGCCCAATTGCGCTGGCTACCTGGGGTGGCATAAGTAAATTCTGAGATATAAAAAAAAAAAAAATGAATTACTGACTCCCAAAAACCGTGCAAAAACAGGTTTGGGGAGTGTTTAGCTAAACTTTTCCGGTTCCTTTTCCAAACGCTAAACTGAGCGGGTATCATGTGACTTCAGTAAACGCGGTTGACGGTCTCTGGACACACTGCTGCGAGTCTCACCACGAGACCCTCCATCCAGAGCAGCTTCTGCCTCCTCAGAACGCTGCGGTACGGGATGAGAAACCGCTGTTCCTCGCACTGATCGCTAATGCACTTTAATACAGCCATCATCATGTGAGATACTGTACACGAGGGTGAATATTCAGCATAAGGAAGTGTGCTCATAACACTGCTCCGAAAGAGAAAGTAACTCGAACCTGTAAGTGGATTCCTATTTGTTCTTATTTGTCGTCTAACGCGCGTATAAAAACGTAATGTTTCTGGATCTATAAGAATGAACAGTAAGTTATCTGCATAGAAAACTGTCGTTTTAAATTCTTCTCATTTTGAATTTATTTGTATTTTTGACATTTATCAAAAATCTTAACTATCACTCAGGCATTTTTCCTCTATTTATATAGGCTATGTATTTAGCAAACGCTTTTATCCAGTGCGTAAAGAATATAATATAGTATACAGTGGGGAAAATAATTATTTGATCCCCTGCTGATTTTATAAGTTTGACCACTTCCAAAAAAAATTAAGGGTCTATAATTTTTATGGTAGGTTTATTTTAACGGATAGAGACAGAATATCAACAAAAAAATCCAGAAAAAACACATTATATAAAGGTTATAAATTGACTTGCATTTCAGTAAGTAAAATAAGTATTTGATCCCCTACCAACCAGCAAGAATTCTGGCTCCCACAGACTGGTTACA